TCTCAGACATCCTGCGAATTTGGGCTCCTTCGGAAGAATGTTGAACTGCTTGTGCGATATTCTCTCAAATATATAATTTCAAGTACGCCTTGGAACTGTGCTCTCATGAATATTTGTTCAAGAAAATGGTGTACCACAGGGTTGCATTCTCATCACCACTCTCTTCATAGTGAAAAGAAACTCTATCATGAAAGCCATACTTCCCACAATCATGCTCTCCATCTACGTCGATGATGTTCAAATCGCCTGTCGTGCTCCAGACTATCATCCTGTGAGAGGCAGCTTCAAGTGACAATCAATCAGCTTACAAAATGGGCTGACCAAATGGTTTTCGATTTTCATCCCCCAAAAATAACCACTGTTCTATTTACGAAAAAAAGATAACTTTTTATGTCTCAGTTCCTACGATAAATACATCGTAATGCCTGTAAAACAGGAATATAGGTTTCTAAAATTAACGTTCGATTAAGAATTCAACTTTATTTTGCACATAAACACACTTAAAACAAAAGCAAATAGAGCCCTCATCCTTTTGAAAGTTTTATCTCACAAACACTGGGGTTCCGATTGACTATGATTGCTACGTAATTACCACTCTGTAGAGCGCAGCATTTTAGATTACGGTTGCATCGTATATGACTCAGCACGAGACAAACATGCACCGTCTTGACCTTGTGCACAACCTTGGTATGCGGTTGTCAAATGGCGTTTGCAGAACATAACCTGCACAGAGCCTGTGTGGAATACAAAAAACCTCTTTTCTGTCGTCGAAGAGCATTACTTAGCCTGAAATACGTCTTAAGAATAATGTTATCGACGGAACACATCTGCTACGACATCACTACAAAGTGTAACTCACGCTTACACTACCTAAACAAACCGAACTTAATCAAACCGCTACACTTACACTTGGAGGATCACTGCCTCATGCACGCCATTCCTGAAGAAAAATTTCAGATCACCAATAAATCATCTAGACTCCCACCACGGCTTCACCTGTCGCACCTTTGCGACTTGGTGCTAAGCCGTTTCAACAAAAAAGATACACCACCAGAACACATAATTCATGATTCCCGCACACTTCAACATAAGTATAGAGATCACAAAATATTTTACACAGACAGCTCGACAACAGAGAACCTTGTGGGTATTGGGATCGTGACAGTGGAAGAGGCATTTACTGTGAAAGTGCCTAATTGTTTTTTTTTATTTTTCAGCTGAAATTTATGCCTTGTATAAAGCAGTTCAAAAATTCTCACTGGCACACACAAGAAAGCAATTATATGTACGGACTCATTAAGCGCACTAAAAGCTGTACATGTGAAATCCGATTGTGAGCCGTTAATTGGGGCAATTAAACGTGGTACCTCTAAATAGCCAAGCAGTTTCGATCCGTTTCTGCTGGGTCCCAAGTCATGTTGGGATGCCCGGAAATGAAAAAGCAGATACGTATTCTTCGATGGCAGCTCACAAAAGAGTATCAAAAGTAAGCATTTTCTATAAAGACAGCCTGTATGCAATTCATATATCTTTGTTAGCAAAATGACAGCAACAGTGGGACTTGTGCACGAGTAAAAGCTTGATCTACTAAAGACTTTACTTGGGGAATAGAAGGCCAGCCGTCCCCAAGAACGTTTTATCGATGTTATATTATGCCTACTTCGCATCAGGCAGACACACTTGACTCAATTTTTTACTGACAACAGAACAACAACCATTACGAGAAATATTCCAAGAACCGTTGTCAGCTATACACGTCTTAATCGAATGCCTTGCTTTTGAAACACAGAGAAAAAATATTTTAGCGCACTATACAAACAACATGTACTTTTACACCCATCTCTACTTCTAGCAGATCATTCAAGCAGATCATTCAAAAACAGAGTAACTAACTCACCTTCGGATTTCCAACAACTTCGTCATGCTTTTTTTTCTTTCATAGTATTTATTACAATGTTCTTCAAACTACGTTTTACACAAAAGGCGACGAGACCAAGTTCTTTACCAAGATGGACAAATATCCGGTTTGATGTCCATTTTGTCATATTTGCCGTTTAGGTGAACAGCCAGTCTATTAAAATGTCCTCTAAAGGGTCGCTTTTTCATTGCGGTCTCGCATACGCCTCTTTCATAGGCTATGCAACCAAGGAGGAAAAACATACCGAAAGGCACTTCATTAAGTAATGTTGGCAAAAGATAAAGTATAGAATAATAATATCAGAATTTTTCCTCAGAGTCATCTGAAGGACATCACAGAATAAGATCGAATTTTCGCAACTGACGAAGAAGTGTTCTATTGTCTCCAACACATCATATAGGCGTCAGTTAACACAGAAAACAAAAATACCTTTTTTTTTTAACCAGGATTTCACGAGCAGCGTTTCAGTATGTAATTTGAAGAAGAATGATACTGAATTTGGAGAGACATACTTTCTTTGCACTCATTTTAATACATCATGACCTGGCAGATCGGGAAACAATGAACCGTACAACGAAGGCGTAAAAAGCCCAGATAGTAGATCCTTGTAAAATTCCTTGCGAGACACTGTCTACAAGTGTTCTATAGAAAATCAAGCTTTAAAGAACGTAGCTGCAGAAAACTTTTTGCATGAATCCTCACAAATACGGGTGTTCGGAAAAGTTTGAAGAAATGACTGAGTCAGGAAAGCATTATACAAAAGTAACCTGCAAGAATGAACAAATCACGGGATAGCAATTATATGCAATATCAACTGTAAAATGACTAGTCAGCTTACTAACTGATCGTTCAAAATTAGTTTAGTATGTGGCGTACTCGATAAAGGTGGAATGTGCACCTGCTACTAAAATTTGCACCATTATTGAACACCAACAACTGCTGCCTAATGCAGCAGTTGTCAATGCATAATCGCAGCAGCACTATGTTTTTCTGGCAATTCACAATCGCAAGAACAAATTTAGCGGACTAAGGGGCAAGTACAGTTTTCCGGTCATTACTGTCGCGTTTAAAATTATTCGTTGTTTGTTCGTTCTGAAGGTCAATATCTGCTACGGTTTTATGAAACCTCGAGGCTCACTCGATAGATACGCCTAAGCGATTGTGTCAGTATTCTGATGTTTTTCGAGCAACGTAGAGCGCAGTCAAGTCAGCGCACTGCTGTAGCTCTATTGTTGGCAACAACTACATAACGGCTTGGCCAAAACGAATACAGTGCACCTGAAACATTATGCATCATCATATTGGTTCATGAGCATGCGAATTGGCAAGTCTCTGTTCTCGTATAAGAGCCAGAGAAAAGTAGGTGACTGTGACCAGCGGCTGTTCATGAGCGGAGGCGTACGTTTGCTGGAAGTGCTGGAACTGTGTCGCATCGATGTTCGTCGCTTGTTGTGCGGACACCATATTTTCTGCATTTTAGCGTCACACGCACTTTGCTAACTTAAAGGTATGGCCCAAGTAAGTGAGTGTGCAAGACTTGTCAGAGCTTCCATTCTAGCGTGGCGACATCAAGTGATTGCTGATGGCTTTTGGAAAATCAGTTCTAATAAAAAAGTATATTTACGTAATTTAATTTTGTCATCCCCATTTTCGCTAATTTTTTCACACTACCAGGGCAAAGAAATTGCCAAAAAACACGTGTCTTCATTCAAGCGTGTGGCGCGTCCACGAGAGCCACAGCGAATAATGGCGCTGTGCCTACGCGCGCCGTCAGTATGCGAGGAGAATAAAGGAGGTAATGCGTGCGCAGAGGAGAGTGTGATAACTTATCTAGATGAATAGGTTTTAAGCAGACGATATTGTGTCGCCACTTGGCAGGACATAAATGGTGCGAGAACAGCGCCACGGGTAGCCCTAAATAGGACCAAGACTTGTGTAGTAGAATTGGCAGAACACTATTGTCTTTCGACATTTGCAGTGAAGGATGCAGATACGCGATTATTTTCCCCAACTTTTTATTGTATTAGTTTATAGTATGCATTTTATTTGAACGAAAGTTGGTTTGGCTGGATTGTTATGAGCGCAAGGTTTCAACCACTGTTATCATACCATGCGGTTTATATAAAATACCATTACGTGAAGGCATGGCAGAATATCATCTTTTCACAGAAACTGAAGACCGTCTTGATCACAACATACAAGTGTGAAGTAGTTCCCTGTATGCACCTCGAAATATTGAAAGCACTTACAAAATACTCAACACCCTCCTTGGTGGTCTATTGGATAAGGCACTCGGCTAATGACTCGTAGGTTAAGTGACCGAATCCTTGCCGTGGTGGCCGAATTTATGATAGAGTCAAAGACGCTTCAAGCTAACGTGCTTAGATTTAGGTGCACATAAAAGAACCCCAGGTGGTGGAAATTTCCCGAGCCCTCTACGACAGTGTCTCTCATAATCATATGCTGGTTCTGGGGCGTTCAACCCGATTAATTAAAAAAAAAACACTGAACAAAGCTCATTTGTTTTTTTGTTTTTTTTTTGTTTTGTGCTAGTTGCTGTTGTGGAATGAAAAAGGGAAGACCCTAGTGAGCTCATTGAAAAAAAAAAGAAAACCAAAGCGGAAAGAACACGCCAGTGAAGTGCTTGGACCTACATTGTTTTACTCTGATACGTTTCTGTAGAGCGTCGCCGTCTAGATACTATGTTGCCTGCATGCAGACGACCAATCTTTTAGATTTCAATGACCCAAGCATTGCAGATAGGAAAACCCCAATTATCTCTGTGTTTTGCTTGCCGCGTGACCTCTTCTTGCACACTATATAAGATAAGCTGAACATTTGTTGAGCAGCAAACGGCTCTTTCACCAGAACGGACGTAAAAGGTAAGTATTACAGTTGCCTTCTATATGTACACGTCATATGGCTCGGACTTTGCGTGCAATATTTCACTATTTGTCTCGGCAACCTACGTGAGTTCGACAAGTCTTTGTAAATATTTTGTCTAATTTCAGAAGAAACTCTTAATATCTCGACGAAAAACATTCAATTTTCTCGTGCAAATGCCCTGGAAACTCTGTCACCGGAAGCAAAATTGGACTGGCCATAGGTTAGCTTTAATTTAAATGTACGTGCGACTCCTTTCTACGATATAAAAATTGGCAGACTTCATCACTTGGTTGTCTGTATCATGTGAGCATACAAGTGAATAAACACAATCAAATTAACATATTTGAAGAGGAAGCGTTTTGTGCACAAAGCTCTTTTATCCTTTAGTCTCAGTTCAAAACAACTACAAATTTCACTGGACAACATAGCGCACGTTTGCTTCAACACAACACACAGATTCGTCAGTATCAATGATTCACTTGAGGCATTTCCCCGACATGGGTATTCATTTCAGAACCCTAGTAATAGCGCTTACGGCTTCCGAAATATCCCCAAAAAAGATATCTTGTCTCACATTACCAGCGGCCCCGAATCGCTAGCGTAAAAGGGTTCATTGACCAATGAAGCGAAACCAAGAAGGTACATGTCTCACGCTGTTATGCAGATTCATCAATCATGAAGACTTTCCTGTGGGTCGCCCTCCTCTCACTCTTCGCCGTAGCGTGTAAGTATGAAATGATTTTATTCACACATTTCTTGCAGCCTTTGTATAGTGGAAACACAATGAGCAAGTGTTCTACTTACTGCCCGATTGGGCTAAATGAAGAACGGTTGCGAGTGAAAAAGTAGTCAAATAATTTATTCAGTCTGATATTCTATATGATTCACTATTACCGAGCATATAAAATAAGTTTCAATCACAGGTATTTCATGGCTTGAAGAACAGTATTTTCATTTTGACTTTTTACATAGAATTTGTCGCTAGTGTTTGCCAATCTATGCCTACTTACGCATGTCTGTTTTGACTGAATTGCTACTAAGACACATGTAGACCTATCGCTCATGTTATGACAAAATGAATGCTCCCTGCTTCGTTCGCTTGTAGAATACTAAACACGTAGATAATTGAACTTGATCTGAATTTCATAATTTGATTTTACTTTCGCGTAGCGTAAGCTAACCACCATGGCTTTTTCTTTAGAAATTTAAAAGCATCTGAGTCAGTCAGTCTTGCTTTCACTAGTATCGAAAGCCGAGGTCCTAATTTATTGTCTTTATTTCTTTTCTTCATGCTCGACAAAGATGGTGCTACGCTGTAAGTATTAGCTGTGTACCTACGTGGTACTGCATGCCGCTTCAGCATTTCTCCAACATTTAGCCAAATTTTGTACTTTCTCTTTCTGATAAATTAGGACACCACAAGTTGCCGCACACAGACCTGTTCTTATAAAGGGTGAGTGCTAAGAAAACTTTTTACACTACCTGTTTTATATTTTTAATGTGCACTGTTACTTAAGTCAGTACTTTCTTTCAAGGCAGTATTTTACTTCGAGTGCATGCTGGTGGACACATTTCGCATATATTCTCTAAAGACCTTCTATATGTATTGCAGCCGAAGACTTAACCCCATCTTTCCTGCCGTCTTACTTTCCGAATTATACGTATGCAAAACGAAGTATTGTGATGTGACACGTGTGCAATGTTTGGTAATTTAGAATGCCTGCAGCATCCTTCCCATATGTAAGATGCCAAACTGGCCTTTGTTTGATATGTAATACTACTGAGAATTAATACCGACATTTACAGATTGTACACAAACGCAAAACACAAAGTCTGAATATAAAATCAATGGCTCGTTTATGGTAAAAATAATGTGAAATAAACGCATCAGCTTCAAGGCGGTAGTACTTGCAACTAAACAACACAATCTTTTCGTTCTTTTCTGTGCAGTTTTCAACGTTTGGCTTGAGCTTCTGTTTAAATCACATGCTAAACTTCAAGCTTTGTACAAAAGGTACATCCGTGTAAAGGATCAATGTTAATGATCTTGTTATTCCGCCTGTAGAGCCGTAGTCATTGTAGCCACCTTAACGTTCTTGTCCTTGTGAATCAAAAAATCATATATGAATTCACTGATTACATGGTCTTGATTATCCTGGTTGTTTTTGTTTTTTTTTCAGGTGAAGCAGATGCACTCCAAAAAAGTGGCAAAACGCTGGAAACTTTGGGCAGGCTCCTGCAGGGCGAGAGTGTTGGCTTGACCGATGAGGAGCAGGAAGACTTCATTAAGGCCCTACAGATCGCATCCAGCAATGGCGAAGTTTTGGCTGAAGACGGCTCGGAGTACGTACTACCAATCATCATTCGCGGCGTTGCCCAAGGTGTCATCGCTCATGTTGTCCAGAAGAAGCTGAACAAGGGCTAAAGACAATCTCCTTGCTAAAACCTCAAACTGCTTTTCACATTCGTTTGGCAGATGCGCCCTATCCTGTGCCATCTTTTAACAGCCAATAAAAGCAAGTGGCTTATTTTGAATTCCACAGAGTCAAGTTCTATTTGAAGAAATAAAAATTCTCTGCATACAAACGAGACAATACTTATTCGGAAAGATTAGCACTTTACAAGAAGTATTATAGACGCCTATTTCTGTTTTCTATTTAAATATTAAAACGTATACAGTTGCTAATTCCTAGGTGCTTCTGCGTTTCTTCCCGCGGCGCCCGCTGACCAGGTCGTTTATACAAAGTGACCGCAAACCTATGACTCGAAAGTGGATTGTCGGGAGGGGGACAGAGGTCGGGAAGGCAGTTACCCGATTCATGGAAGTGAGCACATGCCGTATCGGTAAAAACAAATTTCACTTTTAAAGGGGCCCTGCAACAGATATCGTAGTATACCATTGAATGGCTTTATTGCAGAGCCTTGCGAACCACCCTCCACCTAGCTTTTTCCAATCCCTCAAATAAGTTGAAGGGCGAAAGATAAGGAAGAAGTGTGCTTTGAATGAGTGCTGCTTCTGCTAACTTCATCGTATTTCTGGGGCTATTTAAGTCTGTTGATCGGCTTTCGCTGCTTTCTTGGAGGAGATGGATTTTGACCACCCCGGGTACCAGCCGGCACCAGCGGCGCCAGCGGTGGCCGCCTCCTAGAAGTGGACTCGTCAAGCGAGCGACAGCGAGATAAAGATGCTCATGTATACTCTCTCAGCAGAGATGACTTCAGATGACGGTTTCTAACCTGTGCGTAGCCGCAAAGCAAAGAGGATGAACATGAGGACATCCTCATCCTCAAGTATTCAAACTGTAAGCGGAATGCCAAAGTCGAACACTTATACTATTTAGATATTACTATTGAGTCTCACATTTCCAGCGAACCTGGTCTGCCTGCCCTTTCTATTATCCGCATGAAACGCCTGAGCAGGCAGTCTGTCGAAGTCCCTTGAAGCGCTCGTGCTAATTGAAATTACGGAAATAAGAGTGAACGCCAGAAGGAATATACAGGCTGTTGACGCCCTGCACGAGAGTGCTTTGGGCGTTCTGCGCAGTGTAACACTTTTTGACGGCAAGCAGGTGCGCTTTTATGTTCCCTTGGGATCTAATGTAACCGGCATGATCAACGACATAGATGTGGCTATTTAAAATTCAACATACTAGATCTTTGCACGTCAACACTGATGCTCCCAATGTGTATGTGAACCAGCTGCGCAAGTCTCAGGGCGTGAAGAGTGCATTTAGGAGCACATCTCTCCCCTCCTATGTTAAGGTAGGGTACTTCAGACATGCTGTAGGGCCTTTCATTCCAGAGTATCTCTAGTGCCGTCACTGTATGAAACTTGAACATGTGATCAGCGTCTGCGAAATCCAACGGTGTATCCGCTGCACCAAGCCCTACGATGTGGATAAGTGCGTCACTACTGTCAAGAAATGCTCAAATTGCAATGAATCCCTTGAAGTCACATGAAAGAATTGCCCTCGTATTCAAACGGAAATATCCTTCTTGAAGGAGATGGTGCAGCAATAACTCACCTCATCGAGAAGCTCCAGCTAAACTAAGGAGGCATCATGCGCATCGTCGTTGGTCTTCAAGGACGCCCGCTACCTATTCGATGCGTTTGCCAGCTTCCTCATCATTACCACCTTATTACCTCCCAGTCCAAAAGCTGCGGAAAAGGCTGTAAAGCACAAGGCCAGTGAGAATACCCTAACCGGGATAGACTGGCCTGCACTTCAAGGGAAAGCAGCACCATGGGAACTAAAGGAGTTTCAATGATCTTGGTTCGTGAACTTTTTCACCAAGACAGGCAAGTGACTGCAATCGTGCAACAATTAATTGCCACGATTCGCACGCTACTGAGCAGCATATAATCTTCATGTTCTAAGAGCGCACTGCAAAAATTAGATTCACTGAATCCAGTGCTTGCTAACATTGTGTAAACACAATGGCTCAACAAAACCTCTTCTTCCGCACTTAAGGTAAAAGTGCATCAATTTTTCAATAGAATATCAGAGGCCATAAGCCCTATATCTTGGGCTTTCGCCTATTCGCCCGGGCCAATCAATTCTCTTTACTTGTCATACAGAAACTAAACGTATCAGCACCCTATAGATTGTCTGGCATGATGCCCCATATCTCGAGCGTTTGCCAATTCGCTTGGGCCAATCAATTCCCTACACTTGTCATACGTGAACCAAACGTATCAACGCCTTATAGATTGTCTAGTTATGAAGCTTTTTCTTCAGCCACTTTTAAAAAACGAAGCAATGTAATTGTTAACATTCGCACGGACTTGACTTATGTTTCACATTCAGTAAGCTCAAATGACAACAATCAGTACTTGTGTCTTCATGCGAAGAATGCTGCTTTGTTCACACCTATTGATTAATATATATTCCTGTCAGCACGATTTGACAGTGATCGAATAAAATACATCTTAATCAATCAATCAGTCAATCAATCTACCATTTTATTTGACATTCGTTAAAGCTAGATAATGAGTACGAGGACTAGAACAAAAAACTGCTTTCAGGCAGCTTGACAAAGGTTCTTGTCCCGATTCCCGACAGCCAAAGAAAACAAAGTAACATGAATACAAACATCTCTTGTTCTACATTTCTACTAAACTTTTCTGGTACTCGTATGTAGCAGACCGGTTAAGAAAAGTAAAGATGTATCTCAAAAGTAATACATGACAATTATGATGTACACCGTTTGCTTGCACAAAACAGAAAATGTAACATGGTTAATCACGGAAGCAGACATAATTTATAGTAACGACTGTGCACAGACTATTTAACACAAATGATACAATTTTATAGACCCTGTATCAGCTATTAGGCATTGATATATACACATTATAACTATTCTGATACAAAGAAGAAGCCTTTCAACAAGTGAACGTCAAAAAAAAGTGATGATTTCAGAACGGAACTTGTAACTGACAACTATAGTGATAATAGTGATAGCATAGTGATAATATAGTGATATCATAAATAGTGATAATATAGTGATAGCAAATATAGTGATAGCATAAAGCGCACTACTGCCCTGAAGACAAGTGCCCAAGTACATACCACTTGATTGCATTTCGTGAAGAATTTTCTAAGCAAATGCATTTTTCTTTGAAGTTCATTGAGCAACCATGGCACTAGGTATGACAGGCTGCTCATACCATATTTCGTGCGCAAAAAAAGTATCAGCCATTTGTCTCTTTCCCTTTTGCTGTATAAAATAGCTATGGATATAGTCAGATTGCATGACGACATAAAAGTATGGTTGTTACTTCAGAAGTATTTTTGGCAATTTAGAGCGAGGTTGGGATTATAAAAAATTCGCAAGTGGGCAGATACTAAGAATTGAAAATAGCTCTCCAGTATATGCGCCATACTAAGTATTTGCTATGTGGCGAACTGCTTTTTTCTGAAGCACACTTGACCTATGTAAATTGACCTTTGTAGTGCCGCCCCATACTAATTGGCAATACGTTAAATGAGAGGAAAATAGGCTGTTATAAATCATGTGTTTAACGCTCCTTGGTAGAGTATAGCGAAGTCTACAGAGCACCCTGCAGGCTTTCGCTCTACATTTCTTTTTAACATCTTTCATTCCCGTCACCCCTTTCCCCAGCACAGGGTAGCCAGCCGGTCTAAGAACTGGCTCCCTGTCTTTCCGCTTAAACTTTCTTCCTCCTTCTTCCTGTGGCTATATAATCAGCATGATCATACCAAGTAAGATGATTATTAAAAAAAAAACTCCCAGTATTGTGACGTTTGATGCAAGTTGTATGCGATCAGACCCGAGCTCTACTCTGAAATCTTTAAATTCATGTTGTTGTGGCGGGGTGAAAAGGACACCCTTTCATTTTTATGCATTCAGTTTTATTGAGTTAACTCCATTCGGCCAAGTGATTTAGAGCAGTATAATGATGACCGAGAGAGTGTTTACGTTCTTTGGCCTTACGCAAATGATAGTGTCATCTGCATAAACTATGAAGTTAGTGTCATTGTAAATCTTTGTTATGTCATTGATATAAACTTTGGATAGAATGGCCCCAGTATGCGGCTTTGCGGTACTCTTTGAGCTATTTTTTTAACTGCCGAATGTTCTGACATGATGGCGACGCATTGATTTCTGTGCTTTAGATACAAAATTCTTAACGTAAGTGGAGTGCCAAAAAATCCGTAATACTCTACTTTTGCAAATGAAGTACGAATGAGATATGCGAAGCACGAATGAGAAATGTTGACATGTCACTTTAAAATTAGCAAAACGTTACGAGAAGGCGGTAATTGATGCCGTACACACTCTAAGCCAAAAGGGAGTGACGGGGGTATAGGGGTTGCTCTTTCCAGGGGGAAATTGCTTTGCCACTCCCATTACTTCCCTAAAAGATCAGCAGAGGGACGAACCGTTGCTCTCCTTTAAGTTACTCTTTTGGAGGATGAACAGTTACTTCCTTAGGACCAGCACTTACTCCCACCAGTTGCTCCTAGCGGATAACCCATTACTCCCACCAGTTACTGTCCTAAGACCAACGGTTATTCTTTACCGTTACTCCCGCATGTTCGCAGCTGTCTCTGAGGACCAACTGCACATGCTTTCAGTAACTACTGGTGTGAATGAATATTTATCTCAAGTATGCTTTTCACACGCTTAACAATCGGCGAGAGCTCTTCGGCAGAGCACTGCTTGGGTTCTTCTAACACAAAAAGTGGACAATCTTGAAAGGAAAAGAAATTCTTTAGTGTTTTTCTTCTTTAGGCTACGTGTGAGCACATGTAGAAGAAGACTTCGTCACACCACAGCCAACACTAATCGATCGGCATAATACATCAAAGGTTTTCTGCGTCTTCCGTGGAAAAACAATCTTAAATTTCTAGCATAGGGCAGTCTCTGTCATCATTGGAGAGAGAAGGGCAACTTCGCCAATTGTGAAGGACTCGAGTTTCACAGGACTGGTGTTTCCATCAGGCTAGCCAAGCGCAATGTCACCGCAGGCTTGTGTAAAGCATCTCATTGCTGCAAAAAATGAAAGTGTGAGGTTTAACATGCAAGAATCAATACATATTAATGAGTCGCACACAGTGCAG